GGTGGTAATCGAACACAGACAAAAAGCCTTTACCAGTAAATTCGGCAACCACGTCAAGGGGGAAGAGAAAGGAGAAAGTACGAGAAAAGGGAGAGGAAACGGAAGGGAGGATAGATCACTAGGGTACCCCGGGGCGTGACTCCCTGTATTTACCTAAAGAAGGTAAACCCCCTCAGGGGAGATTAGGGCAAGGATATGATGGCGCTGCAGTGATGAGTGGTCGATTACGAGGTGTGAGAACAATAATTGCAGATCAGTATCCAAAAGCTCAATTCGTACATTGCGTGGCTCATGTACTGAACTTAGTATAAGCTCATTCATGTGAAGTACCTATGATAAGGAACTCTCTAGGAACTATAAAATTCGTAATAAACTTCTTCCGAAAATCTCCACTACGGGATGGTTAATTAAAGAAAATTGCCGATGAAAACAACTTCGAACATTCCATCCTTATCGGCCTTTGTGAAACACGTTGGACTGAAAAACATGTGGCTGTCTAAAGGTTAGCAGAAATGCTACCCGTTGCACGTGCAACGCTTGAAACACTTCGAAGCACTGGTAGTTCAGACGTGGCCACACAAGCGTTTCAACTGCAGACAGCTGTGGACAATAGCAATTTATAGTATCTTTGGTCATACTCAGAAAAGTGTTTTCGTATACTGTAAATTTGATTAAGGTGATGCAGAAGGTGAATGTTGATTTAATCGCCACTTGCAGTTATGCGAAAATTGTCAGAACAACCATAGAAAGCATTAGAAACGAGACACAATTCTCCATACTTTTTGAGGAAACAAAGAGAATGAGCTCGAACAAAATAGTTGTCCCAAGAATGGCTGCAAGAGCGTCCCAACGCAGCAATGCACCTGGAGAAACTGCCGAAATGTACTACTGGCGAAATGTGTTTTATCCGTTTATAGAACCGAACTAGATGCTCGTTTCAAACCACATGAAGACGCTATAGAAGGCATTCAACTGCTTCTACCCGAGAAAACTAAAACTGATGACAAAACAAAAGAAAGTCTGAAAAAAGTAGCAATAACCTTTCTAGCGAAAGTGAAGGAAACACATTTCTTAGTGAATATGACATATGGAGCAAACACTGGGAATCAATATCCGAAAAACCGGTCACTGTTCTCGAAACTCTCGATCAACAGTTTTTCCTTCTGACAAGAACGTTGCTGGGTATTTTGGCAACACTTCCGGTTTCCACCGCGACACCACCGCGACACCAGAAAGAAGTTTCTCCACTCTAAAGAGATTAAAAACCTATCTCAGAAATAAGATGGGAGATAAGAGACTGACTGGACTTGCTCTACTGAGTGTGCATCGTGACTTGGCGGTGCAATGGGGTCCCTTCACAGCTAGAGGACCTGATTGTAGATATCACGTGATTCATACGGTCTAGCGTTTGTTTACATATGGTTCTCATAGAATTCAACGTGGAGTTTATGAAGCAAAATTAGTTATTGTTAAATTAATTAAGTTCTTTTTACTAGCATATGAGATTAAAATTTGTTATTTACATTTAGTTTAATTATTAGAATAGGTATTAAGGTTAGAATAATTTAGTTTTAGATTCTTATTTAGAGTTAGTTTTTAGGTACTTATAGCATAGTTAGCGATAGTTCATTAGTTTGTAATTTATATAGCTTAGATTTTAGTTAGTATTGCTAGTTTAATTAGTGCTTCATAGGCTTCATGGCTTCTTCGATTGTTGATAAACCATTATATTTGGTGGATTTTACGAGTTTCTCGATCTTAGAATATGCTGAGCACTTCCCAGCTCTAACTGGTAATACTAGTGTTGTTACAAAAATAAAGAAAGGTTCTATGATGTTCAACGAAAAATTTGTTAGCAAAATTTCTTTTGTTGAAGACATTGAGAACCAATCCTTTGAAATATTTGCTACAGTGAAGGCCGAGATGAAGAAGAAGGTTGTCTACAATAGTAAAGTTAAAATTTCATCTGATTGTAAAGTAAGTTTTTTTCATTATTTATAAAAAAATAACAAATAATAGTACTTTTCCCTTTCGCTGGCGCAAGTAAATTAGATTATTTTATGTATTTACTTAGTTTTTTTTAATAGACATCGCCAAAATTTAAAAAGAAAATTGAGTTTGCATTCACTTAGTAAGTTTAAATTGGTAATTTTTTCGCTTGCACCTGCGATATGAAAAGTATTCAAATAGCTTTATATCTTACAGTAGTGCTAACTTATGTACTATACAATTTTATGTTTAGTTTTCTTTAGTTATTGAAATTAACAAATCTGTTAGATTTAGAGTTTATAAAAGCCTGTATTTAATAATTTCATTTGCACAGATATTTAGGTTGATTACAGAAATAAAATGAGACTAAACAGAAAATTACTTGGGTAGATTTCTATATCATGATCTGCAGCAGAATAATTCCCAAGTTTTGGCAACTTCTGGGTAGTAGACCGCTAGAAACTAAAAAAGTCATCACACAAAGGGATCAACTCAAATGTTAAAACTCGTAGCCACCCCCCAGGCAAACATCTACTTGTTTTGTTTTTAAAAAAAATTGCAAGTTTGAAATCACTTTGGCACCTTGGCAATTGTAGTTGGCCATATAGATCATGCAAGTGCAATATTAAAGATTAATGATATGAAAATAAATTTATTACAGAATGAAAGAGAGAAATTTAAACTGTTTTGTTTCATAGATAATTCATATACTATTGTTATATGCAATCTTTAAGTCAAAGTTATTCTACCAGTTTTTTACATAATTTGTATATTAAAACAGTTTCTAAAACTTATTATTTCTACTGTTAAACTTATTTAACAATAATAACTTGTGAAACAAAGTGAATGAGATTTCTTTGTTGGAAGCAAAACTTATTGCATAAATAGGACCAAATTGAAGCAAAGTATTTCATTTTTATTAGATTAGTTTTATTGAAATTGGCAATTTCAGTTGAAATACCTGTTGTATAATTTTAACATTCAACATCTTCCATTCTAAAAATGTTTTCATTTCTTCTATTCAGATTTTAACTGCCTGCTGCTCCTGTAAGGCTGGAAAAGAACCTTCTGGTTGCAAACATGTCTTTGCCCTTTTACATGCAGTCGAGGACTATTCTAAGACGGAGCTGTATGCTGCCCCGACAGAGCGACTACAGATCTGGCACCAGCCTAAGCCGATTAAGCTGCAACCAAAGCGAGCATCTGAAGTGTTTGGCAAGAATGTGGTATGTGAATTGAAAAATAAAGACTTTAATTGGGGAGCCTTAAAGGATTTTAACATTGCTTTATTTAAATGTACAAATGTTAGTGAGGTCTTGATGTACATTAGAACCATCCCACTACCTGCTGTCGCTTTTGCTGGTGATTCTAGCTCTGTGATTGGCACTAATAGCATAAAAACTATGGAAGATCTAATATTGTTTCATCAACATTACATTCATACGATAGAATTCATGACAGATATGGAAAAAAAAACAATGAGACAAGACTCTGATGAATGGATGCAATTGAGATTAAAATATATTACTTCTACGAGTGTCCATTCTATTTTGGTTCGCAGATCAGATTTTGAAAGATTGGCGGAGAACATCTTTAATAAAAAAAAGAAAAGACTTATCTCAAATTGCTGCAGTCTCTAATGGACAGAATCAAGAGAGTTATGTTCGTGGTACGATTGAAAAAAAAATACACTGGGTATACTGTTCGTAGAACAGGTTTAGTGTTGAGTCCTTTGTACCCCTTCTTATCTGCCTCACCAGATGGACTTCTGTTCAAAGAAGATGATGTGATGCTCATAAAAATTAAGTGCATTCATAATGTAAAAAACTTGACTCTAGAAGAAATTCATGCGACTCGTGGTAACAGTTTTTGTCTAAAATTCAGTGACGGACAATACAGTTTGAAGCGAAATCACAAGTATTATAAACAGATACAAACTCAACTTGCTGTGACAAACTTGACAAAGTGTCTCTTTGTTGTATATTATTGCAAAGATGGCGAAGATTATTTTCATGAGGAGATCATTGACTTTGACTCTACTGAGTGGGCATTGTGGGTTGTGAAATTGAGAGACTTTTTTTTTAACTATTATTTTCCATTTCTTATTAAAGGCAACAAGTTAATGTAAATTTTATTCTTAGAATCTGAAAAAATGATTAATTTTATTTCTTGTCTATTTATTCTATATCATTTTATTGAAGTCAAATTTTTTCACAGCAAGTTGAGTTAGTATCTGTTTATAATACTTGTCCTTTCTTTATATGAACATTATATCTCTTTATATGAGTGTTGTATTAGCTATTTGTTTATATGTATGTGTCTGTTAGTAAGTCATGTAACATGAAACTCAAAAAGTTAACTAAATGTTTTCTCCACTTATTAAGTATCTTCACGTCTGATTTTAGTTATTGATAATTAGTTAATTTCTAATTTCATTCCTTAATTTTAGTAAGATTTGTCTGATGTTGTCTAGTTATAAAGTTAAAATTTGCATTATATTCCATCTCAGAGATATTCACATCTTTTATTTGTGATACAAGGAGTGATTTAAAATTTACCATTATTTATTTATTTTTTGCATAAATTGGACATTTTGCATCGAGGTTCATCGTGTTTTAAGTTTTATTTAGTATTAGTAAATTAAGCTTCATAAAAATGGGTTTGATATTTTATTATGTCAAGAGTCTTGTTGGAATATTATGCTATGATTTAACCAATGTTACCACATCATCTGCTAATTCTCTTTAATTACATATGTACCTTTTGCAGATACAGAGCTGTCACAAGCCTTTTTCACACCCTAAGCAGGTGACAAACAATGCGCCCTTAAGTGTCTTCTTCCCTTGCTTTCTTAAATTTTACAGAAAATTTTTTTAATTTAGTTTTTTTGGTGTTCTTTGTTTACTAAATTTTTATGGTTTGATAGTGTTATAACATTCAAGAATTCATTCATTTTACCAATGTTTGTTTAATATAAATTGTTTTAAATTTTAATCAGAATTTTTATTTAAATAAAATAAAAATTGTAGTATTCTTAGTTTGCATAAATTGTCTTACTGTTATACAACTACTCCTTGTTTTGTATCTAAAGTACAACTTAATATATTGCTTGCAAGAAATGAAATGAGTGTTGTCATGATTTAAATTTCAATAAACATTGGCATCATTTTGTTTACTTTTGTTTTCTACCTTACTTAAATTAGTTTTAAAATATGTATTTCCATAGAAATAGACATTGTTACTTGAAATTGACCATAAGTTTAACACCACGAGAGAATAGTGTTATTTGATGCCTAAAACATGAGGATATTAAAAAAATATATAATATTTTAAAGAATCCTTTTCATCCACTTCAAGTTAATCCCTAAATATAAATAAATTTTTTATACTTATATTTGCACATATATTACAATAATTACATAATATTTGGGCTCAATGGCTTGAATCACTAAGTTGATATAATTTTTTAAGAGAATATCACACTTTATTATGTCATGTCTGCAACACAATCTTTTTTCTTTTTTTCTTCCCAAATCTTTTTTACAATGTAACTTTTGTTGTTTGATGATGTCTCACAAAATATTTCTAACAGTCAATATGATTGAAATAGACCAAATTTAACTGAAAAAATTATTGGTTAAATAAAAATTATTTGGGTATTTTTGTTGCTTGTGGAAATGGGTGGAGGCAAATTTTTCTAATTTGGCAGTGGGGTCAGTCTTTCTGCAGGATGAACAACTGATTTAGATAATCAATTCAATAAAATCGCTTCACTTTATGGAATAAATTAAAATGAAGCTTTAAAGCATAAAACACAGATTTATTTTAATATTAAACGAAAACGGAGTTTATCGTGTGGAGACAAAAATTAAATTTGCTTTATTTTAAAATCNGTTTTTGTAAAATTGTGAAAAAATTACTCATAATTTGTGAATATAAAATAAACATTAAGTCGCATTCTTTCAACCAGGGTCCTGTTATTGCAAAAAACTTTTTCAAAGAGTTTTTAAATTGTAAAGACATACAAGATCATGCTCAACACTGTAAAATTATAATTAAATTTTAAAAACTATACAGCAATTGCTGCTACTAAATTAGAGATGCAACATATAAATATTTGGTATTTAGCCTATACTGCTGAACGCAGGATATTCATTCCGGACGAATAAAGGAAGAAACGTCTGCCGAAGACAAAAATTGGTTCGTTTACATCGTTCTTTCCCCTCCTTCCTGGTAAGAGTTTATTCGATTAACAAAACAATAATGAAGATAAACAAATTTGTGAAGGGTCCGTTGACGGACCCAAATTTCTTCTAAACAGACCCCTATATATATAAAGGCATAGTTTTTTTAGTTTTACTCTTTAGAAAACTAATCTTATTTTAGCATTTTGTATTTTATGCATATAAAAAAATAATTCCAGAATTAGTCTAGACGTCGCTTTTGAGTTGCGAATTGAACTGTCTGACAAATCTAGAGTATTGATACAGTTATTGATTTCCACATTAAATTGTTTCTCCTTATTAAACAGTTTTTCTGTTGTTTATATGTTTAAAGTTGCAAATGAAATATATTTATACAGTAGAAGCTTTGAGAAGAAAAAAAAAGGCCAGTCATAAACAATTCCAAAGCTGAAGAGAATTTGGAAACAATCATGATGCACTCATAATTTGTTAAACATGAAACAAATATTAAACATAACATTTATTAACAAAAATAAAGTTAAAAAAAATTTAAAAATAACTTACATTTAACAACAAAAAAAAGCATGGTTAATATTTTATTTTCCGGCTTAAATAAATTTTATAAAAACTAACTATGCACTAACTTCCCTTCACACTTTTTCCAGGCTTAGGACTGGCAGTACTATCTAAAATAGCTCTGGCGTGTTTAAAAGTTGTATTTTTTTTCTTTTTTTTGATTTTATATATTTTTTTTTAAACTTTTTTTCATTTTTTTTATCATATTTCATTTCCATTACATTAAAAAATCATTCAATTAATGGACATCCGAAGTTCACTAGCATGCTGGCAATGAAAAAAACTTCATTTGCATTATGTAATGCCATGTATGGTAAATCTCCTTCAAAATATTTGAAATATTTAATACGCCCAATTGCGCGTTCAACATGGACTCTATTATTTGAGAGCATGTTATTACACTCTCGCTCCAAGACAGGAAACTGGATTCTATCTTTTAAAAATGTTGGAGTTTTTAGAGTGCAATTTTTAGAACGTAACTCTTTTTCAATGAGAAAGCCTTTGTCAGCCATGACCATATCTCCTGGCTCCAGCTTTGAAAGTAGCCCACTCAACAGAAATAGTTCTTTATCGGAGGTGCTGCCGCAGTATAAATCTGAAATGAAAGAAATAGCCCCAGATGGGGTTATTCCAATCATAGCTTTCAGTGTGTTGTCATTCTTATAATGACTAAAAGTGAGCTGTTGCTCAACAGGATTGTTGGGCTTCTGAATTCTAAATTCGGTGCAATCTATTATTACTCGACATTGCCGATTTTCCACTCTTATCTGACTAGGCATGTTTGCCTGGATCAGAGATCTACTCGGCCAAATATCAAGTAGCAAAAGTTTGTTATAAACCACATTTACAGTATTATTAAAATATCTCGATACTGTTGAGTCTGATATTTTAAATAATATCGACAAGAACTCATTCGTGATCCCAGTTCTCAACTTAATGAGAAAAAGAAAAAATTGTTCTTCTTCACTTAACTTTACTTTTTTCTGTAGATTATCTTCCATATTTAAAAAATTAAAGAGGCAGTAAAACTTCTCTCTATTAAATCCCGTAATCGCCTTAAACTGCTCATCACTCTTAATATTTTGGACACTAAATGCACTTTGAGCTTCTTTTTCTTTTAATTCTTCAACCAACTTTTGAAGGAAACTCACTTCATCAATGACTTCACCAAAGCTCAGTGTTTGGCAAGCTTTGGACAGCAAGTCTGTACAGCAAGTCTCACTAAATAAAAAAAAATATATATATATGAGTAAATGCATAAATATAATTCAGATGAGGAAAAAATTATTCTATTGACTATTTATAAATTTTTTAGAGCTAAATTTATTGATAAAACATGAATAAGTGAAAGTAATTCTCTCATTATTAAATATTAGTTTCTTTAATGTGTGTGCAGTTTGACGGTGACTTGCCATAATAGATGACTTATTGTTACCAACTGTACTCATTGCGTTAAGCTTTTATTGCACATTGATATGTCATTTATATTTATTATTAGTTATAACAGTGAAGAACCATTCTTGAAATGTACTACTAATAAAAATTGTAAGAGAGAAAAATGCTAACTATAAAATTACAATTTGAAATTATTGTACCGAAAAAAAATTAAGCTATTTTACAAATTAAGAGGTTAACAGAGTAATGTTAGATTTTAGCTCATAAATTAATATTTTTAGAAACCTTAAAATTCCATTAATTAAATTAACTAATGATTACAATTTAGATTAGTAATTAAATCTTCAAGTATGAACCTTAATTACTTTAACTACTTTTTATGATTTAATAAATATAATAATAATTCTTTTATTTTCAAATTTAATGATATAGAAGATAAAATTTTAATAAGAAAATAAAATTTTATCATTATAAATATAAAATTTTTGTTTCTTTAATATTAGCATTTTGGTAATGACTTGCAAACTTGCCCTAATATATCATTTCTTATTATTTAAGTTTCATATTTATTATTAGTCATAATAGTAAGGAACTATTTATGAAATATTATACCAGTAAACACTAAGTGTGAGAAAAAAGTTAACTCTGAAATGAATAGTTTTAGGTTATTGTAAAGAAAAGAAAATAATAAAATCACGAAAGAGTTATTACAGGAATCAAAAAGTTTATCAAGTAACACTAGATAATCTGTCTGTTTGTTTCTGTTATGTTTCAATAATCTGTTATGTTTCAATTTTTTTTTACAGCTTTAAAATATAATTGTCATAAATAAATTAATCTTTAGAATCTTGTTTAGTATTTTTTATACAACTTCTTATGCATTTAGTCGGGGTACTTGTACTATTATTATTTTTTTTTCATTTTACTTAATTTTTACTGTTATATATTTCTTTCTTTGGCAGTTTTAAAAATGAAATTTGAAAAATAAAAAATTCTATTACTTTTATTAATACATATTTAGTTTATATTTGCTT